TCTGATTATTTGTAACTGAAAAAAAATGATACTTAGGTAGCTTTTTATCAGTTAATCTCTGATTATTTATCACTGAAAAAAAATGATACTTAGGTAGCTTTTTATCAGTTAATCTCTGATTATTTATCACTGAAAAAAAATGATACTTAGGTAGCTTTTCATCAGTTAATCTCTGATTATTTATAACTGAAAAAAAATTATACTTAGGTAGCTTTTCATCAGTTAATCTATGCATATTTGTAACAGAAAAAAAAGAGTCTGTTTCTGTTTATACCAAAGAAACCTGAATGCAGATTTTGTTTGTATTTGTTTATCCATGGTTAATAATGCTTGTAAATTTTATCCCACTTCTTACTTTAACATTACTTTCATTAACAGTATTGGTTAGAACATTTAACATATGTAGTATTATTATAGAGAATATGTACTTAGGACTAATATACATCTCCTAAGCTGGCCAAATCTTGTGAGATATTATTGGATTTATGGCCGAAAATATCACTAACAGCAAGAATAGTCGACAGATGAAACAATGCATTCTAACCTTTATAAGTAAGAACAGTATATGTAATGAACTATACTCATTGCTGGGTTGATTTGTAGTTTTGATTTAAGTAGATCACTTTGATTGGGTTTTGATATTAATTTATCTTAGCCAAAGAAAGCAATCAAGATTGTGTCTTTTCTGATTCTGAGATATTGCTACCTACGTCTAGGTAAAACTAAAATCATAAAACCCCCCGAGAACTATGAAGTTGCTGCAGGAAAATCAGCCACTTTTCGTTGTAATGCTGAAGCCGATCCAAGTTTGGAGTTAGTGATTGAGTGGCAGTTTAACAACAACCCAATAGACTTCGATCAAGAATCTCATATGGTACAAGCTGCAGATAACTCACTGACCATCACAAAGACTCAAGAGCAAGACTCTGGGTTGTACACCTGTGTAGCAAAAACAGATCTAGATGAAGACACAGCTTGGGCAACCCTCACAGTTCAGGGTATGTTAGGATTTTAATAAATTCATCAATAAATTTACACTGTGTGTGTGTGTGACTTTCTTAGTTTTAGGTTCTTTCATTTATATCTGATCTTTGTTTTGTTCAAGTTTGGCTATGAACTTTATAAGAATTATAAATCTTATTACCTGGAAAATGAAGTGGATGTTTAATAACTGTTACATTCTTTTATTAACATAAAGATGTTCCAAATGCACCCAGGATTAAAGGCGTTGAGTGTGATGGTCTAATAGCTCTTGTTGAATGGCAACCGTTGGGTGATCGTCGAGCCCCCATCCTCAGCTATACAATTCAATTTAACACTAGTTTTACTCCAGACACTTGGGAGGATGCTTTTGTGAACATTCCTGCACCTGACTGAATCGAGTGTCAAGAAAGTTCACAAAAGTATCCTCGTACGTATCTGGAGTAAAAACCAGCATTAAAAGAAGTATATAATGAAACATACCTTGAATCGAGTGCCAGGTGCAGGAATGTTCACAAAAGTATCCTCGTACATGTCTGGAGTAAAAACCAGCATTAAAAGAAGTATATAATGAAACATACCTTGAATCGAGTAACAGTGTTAATACTTTTGAATTTTTCACACATAACACTAACTGTTAATACTTTGAACTTTTCACACTTAACACTAACAATATTGCAAATGTTGACCTGATTCATGACATATGAGTGAAATATGTTGAAAAGGAAACACAGAACGAAGCAGGAATTTTAGTAATTTCTCTTATGTTTCGACACAAAGTCTTCTTCAGAGAGATTGATACAAACAAATACAGACAGCACGTTACGTACTCTCTCGTTTGTTGCCAAGGAATGCGTACTCCTGATTGGTTGATATATCCTACTGTCTCTGCCATTCTCGCTGTACAAATCACCAGTGATCTGGCGACCTTAACCAGACTAAAAAAGCCTTCTCTGTGGTTAGAGGTGACATCTGTAGCAATGTATGCACATTCAATGGTTTGTTTCAATCTCTTATCACAACTCTTATGCAAAGTTTCTGCATTTTGCCACTTTGGCAAGTGTCCATGACTGTCTATGTGTAATACTAACGAGTTTGATATACAGTATTTTCTTATGTTGTTTTTATGCTCATTAATTCTTGCATCAACTCCCTGAGAAGTTTCACCATAGCATGAAACAGGACAACCACTATAGGTGTGGGGGATAAGTTAGCAAATTGAATAGAAGAGTGGTAGGATGGAAAAAAAGCAGAGAGTTGTTATAAACGGAGTTCAGGGTTATGATAAGAGATTGAGACAGACCATTGAAGCTGCATACATTGCTACAGAGGTCACTTCTAACCACAGAGAAGGCTTTGTTAGTCTGGCTAACGTTACCGGGTCACCGGTGATTAGTGCAGTAAGAAGGGCAGAGTTGGTAGGATATATTAACCAATCAGGAGTACGCATTCCTCGGCAACAAACGAAGTAATCCACGAAAGGGTACATAACGTGCTGTCTGTATTTGTTTTTCGAAACATAAGAGAAGTGAATAAAATTCCTGCTTCATTCTGTGTTTCCTTTCCAACAATGTTACTACTTTTAGATGTTTTACAGTTAACACTAACAATGTTAATACTTTTGTATTTTTGATAGTTAACACTAACTATGATAGTTATCCTTGGCAAGTTTGATCATTAGTTTCAATGTATATTAGTGTTTTGTTAATTTTTTAACCTTCTGATCTCCCACTTGAGTTTCATTAATGAAATAAATTTCAACTGAATTCGTATTAAAATGTAACGACTTTTGGACTTTACACAGTTAACACTAACAATGTTACTTTTGGACTTTACACAGTTAACACTAACAATGTTGTTACTTTTGGACTTTACACACTTAACACTAACAGTGTTAATACTTTGAACTTTTCACACATAACACTAACTGTTAATACTTTGAACTTTTCACACTTAACACTAACTGTTAATACTTTGAACTTTTCACACTTAACACTAACTGTTAATATTTGAACTTTTCACACTTAACACTGTTATTTTTGGACTTTACACAGTTAACATTAACAATGTTATTTTTGGACTTTACACAGTTAACATTAACAATGTTACTTTTGGACTTTACACAGTTAACATTAACAATGTTAACATTGTTAGTGTTAACTGTAAAGTCCAAAAGTAACAACATTGTTAGTGTTAACTTTGTAAAGTCCAAAAGTAACAACATTGTTGATTTTTAAAATGTAACTCCAGATAAAGGTAGACAGAACAAATGTGTAAATATGAGAATAACTTGCTACTATATCTAGAATATATAATCTAAAGTACAATATTTTAATTCAGCTTGAGCTTAGTTGTATTTAGTAAATTATTTGTACATCCTTTCATTTTTAATAAAACTAGGTATCTATGACCCCTTGGGCCAACTACACTTTTCGGGTGATTGCCAGAAACAAAATTGGCCCAAGTCTTCCAAGTGGTCCCTCTGAACGATGTTCAACTCCTGAAGATGTACCTTACAAGAATCCTGATAAAGTGTTGGGTCGTGGTACCAACCAACATAATCTAGTCATTTCATGGACAGTAAGTTAAAATCTGATCAGTGTTCAACTCTTAAGAATGTAACTTATAAGAACCCTGATAAAGTGTTACCAACCAACATAACCCAGTCATCTCTTGGATAGTAAGTTAAAATCTGATCAGTGTTCAACTCTTAAGAATGTAACTTATAAGAACCCTGATAAAGTGTTACCAACCAATATAACCCAGTCATCTCTTGGATAGTAAGTTAAAATCTGATCAGTGTTCAACTCTTAAGAATGTAACTTATAAGAACCTTGATAAAGTGTTACCAACCAATATAACCCAGTCATCTCTTGGATAGTAAGTTAAAATTTAAAATCTAAATGATATTTAACTCCTGAGGACATACCTTGTAAGAATCCTGATAAAGTGCTGGGTCAACATTACTAAGTGTCTAAAGGCTACCTAAACAACAACAATACCCGTTAACATTACTATATGCTTAAAGATTACCAAAATGGCAACATTGGCTGAAAACATTATTATATATTTACAAGTTGCTTAATTACCTAAAGTTCATAATATTGATATATACATAAACAATAATATACAACTAACTAAAATGGATGGAAGTAAGTTCAACTTATTTCATTATCAAAGTAAAAGAAACTTACGGTCTTCTCCAGAGTAACCTAATACTTCAGTAGCAGAAACATGAGCCTGACCAGCCCTATTGTGAGCTTCTACTTTCAATCGGTACTCTTTAAACGTCGGCTGATCCTCTATGACGTACTCGTTCTGTTGCCAGTCTTTAATTATAACGGTCTCCCATTTAGCACCTGGAATGTCTTCTCGTTTCCAGAACACTTTGTAGAAGAATCCGGGAGCATTCTGTTCAATCTTGGGCATAGGCTGAACAAACAAACAAAGGAGAGGACATTACCTGAAGAGATTTCCATAGAGCAGTGGTTCCCAAGTTTTCTTTACCGATGACACCCTAACCCACTTACCTTGATTTGCATGACACCCATGCTGCCACATGCAATATGTTTTTGTATATATATATACATACATATATATGTTGTTTGTTTATGTTCTTAATTATTTGTTTGTTTGGTGCAACTCACCAACTAACAACTTGCCATTACACACTAGTGTGTTTGGAAACCACTGCCATAAAGAATATTTGACATTTTAACTAATCAGGTTATGTTGGTTGGTACCACAACCCACCACTTTATCAGTGTTCTTGTAAGATACATCCTCAGAAGTTAAAACATTGTTCAGATTTTAACTTACTATCCAAGTGATGACTAGGTTATGTTGGTTGGTACCATGACCCACCACTGTTTGATGGTTCTTTTAAAGTATGTCCTCAGGAGTTAAATATCATTTAAATTTTAAATTACTATCCAAGAGATGACTGGGTTATGTTGGTTGGTAACACTTTATTAGGGTTCTTATAAGTTACATTCTTAAGAGTTGAACACTGATCAGATTTTAACTTACTATCCAAGAGATGACTGGGTTATGTTGGTTGGTAACACTTTATCAGGGTTCTTATAAGTTACATTCTTAAGAGTTGAACACTGATCAGATTTTAACTTACTGTCCATGAAATGACTGGGTTATGTTGGTTGGTACCACGACCCAATAGGTGTTGTTGTTGTTGTTTAGGTAGCCTATAGACACTTAGTAATGTTAATAGGTGTTGTTGTTGTTTAGGTAACCTTTAGACACTTAGTAATGTTAATAGGTGTTGTTATTTAGGTAACCTTTAGACACTTAGTAATGTTAACAGGTGTTGTTGTTGTTTAGGTAACCTTTAGACACTTAGTAATGTTAATAGGTGTTGTTATTTAGGTAACCTTTAGACACTTAGTAATGTTAACAGGTGTTGTTGTTGTT